TCTTTCCCAAGGCTACTATATTGGAAGAGTAACATCCCTGGATCAGATTCCCTGCTCTGCTTCCAGCATAGGTCAGCTTCCTCAGAAAAGAACAATGACATAACGTTGGAGGCAAAGACAGACATTGGCTCTTGGTAGGTAGCCAAGGGATTTGGAGGCACAGCAGCAGCAGTCTATTGACTTTTTGCTTTCCTTGCCACTGCTATTTCTGCTTCTCTTGCCCCCAGCAGCAACTCTACCTGGCCTAAATAAGAGGTAGGAAGAATGCCGGCTCTCTCATTAACTGGACAGGTTGAGACAAAGGCAGGCAGCGAACCATTCCCTATCCCTAGCTAGTCAGCACCCTGCCAGTGATTGCATGTGGACCAGGATGCTGGACTGCAAGTGACCCCCCAGTGCTACAAGCAATCTCAGGTTAGTGTTAGGATGCCATCCAGTTGCTGTAGCTGTTGTCAGAGCATGTCCCTCAACTTGCTTACATGTGATTTCCCTGGCAGAGTATCACCCCGACTCATAGAGACTTGGCACATTTCATTTAACCTCTCTAAGGACAAAACAGAGAATGAAGAGTATTCCAGGAATTTCTTAGATGTGGGGATTTTACTTTGGAAGAACTCAGAATTACATGTGTGGAAGCTAACCTTGAGACACACCATCCCCTATGTTGACATACATTGTTCCTTTCCCCTCACTCAGGAGTCTTTGCAGCTCTCCCTTTATAGCAGCATCACTACTAACAAACTTTTGTAGAGGCTGTTGTAATGCTACCTTTTGTCTTGCTTCAAGCTACTTGGATTACAAAAACAATCATTGGTATCTTCTAATCTGCTTAGTAATGTGGAAACTGACCTGTGGATTTCTGGGTCTTCCTGTACCAGCTAATCTGTCTAGTTGGAAACAATTGTTGTCTTGTTAAAATGCATCTGTTGCTGAGTCTCTAGCTCTTACTTTTAGGTCTTACGCTAATATGGGGAGAATTCATTCTTTTTTCTGATTTTTCCTTTGTGATTTTGTCTCTTAGGAAGAGGAGCCATCTCCGATGGGGTTCAAAGTCACCCTTATTGGCTTGTGTCCTGACCATTCGGCCTGTTGGCAAGCGTATATTCCTTGGTTTTACTTCATATCTGGTTTGTCCTAAGTTCCTAGTACTTGCATGCTGGAGACATTTTTTTTTCCATTAGATAAGTATGTCTTCTGGAACCAAAATCATAGTGCAGAACTTTGTCCAGACTGGGCTCCAGCTTGATGCAGTCAGAGACATAACTTTGCATTGGGTTTGGGTTCCCATGTAATTTACTCTGTCGGTCATAGTTGCTCTCAAATCTGGTAGTTTTCCTGATCCACTTTTCAATTACTCTGGCTTTTTATTGTTGTAATGATGGTAACCAGGGAGCAACTCTTAACTTTTATTGGTTCCACTGAGAGGAAAACTGACTGCTGCAAGCTGAAAGCTTTCTATAGGATTTATAATTAGAAGAAATCAATGATGCCACTTCTGAACTGCTGCTCTTGGAATACATGGTAATCAACGATACAGAAACAAACTCTGTCTAGTGCTGATGCTCAAATGCCCCGAATGATACAGTGAGTACCCTGAATGAAAACCTACTGCTTGAACAGGTATTTGGCTTCCTATGGAGAGCACTGAGAATCACCCCCTGCAGGTTCTGGTGGACTTCAGAAGCCATCACCAGGAAAGACATCTCTTGGAGTCAGAGGATGTTGCCCAGGAGATATCCAGAAGGGAGAGTAGACCTGATCCAGTCCAGTCAATAACTTCTTGACTCCTTACTTTAAATTTCCTGCTAGGAATGAAGCACAGTGCCTACTAGTTCCTTCAGTCTCCATACCCCCAATTCCCGAAGTTTGCTATTGGTTGCTAGCTGCTATGGCTGCAGAGCACCGTTTTGACTACTGGCACCTTTTGCAGATGCTTAGCTGTCCTACCACTGCCACTGATCTATGCAGGGAAACAATCCTATGAGAAGAGCTTACTTCTTTGAAGTGTTACATACTGAAATATTACTTATGATAATTTCCTTTAATGTCAGCTCAACTTTTAAAATATAGTGGGAGGGCTCTTTCCTTGAATCCTCAACTGGCCTCGCTGCCTTACAGACTGAGAAAGGCCATGTGGACACCCTGCACAGCACAAGGACAGGGGCTGTTCTCGTGAGGCCCATGTTTGCCAGAGCCTGCCATAGCAAGGTTTCAGAGACCTCAGCATGCCCAACTTCCCTGCACTGTCAACTAGGCGTGGGTGCTCCCCTTTGGGCGTAAATTGGACTTTCACAGCTCCCTTGCAAAATCTATCAAAGCTGCATCAATAAAAGCGTTCTTTTCAACAAGGGGCAGGACTGGCTCCTCTAGCAGTCACGGACTTAACTAGGTGAACACTCAGATGTTAATTTTTCCTGAGACTACTTGGCACAGTTTTCACATGCAAGCCACCTAAAAAGGTCCTTTTCTGCCTTATCATTGTCCATGAGGGCTCCAAATGATCCTCGTGTCCACTAACTTGGTAATCACAGATTGGGACAGGGGACTTTGAGACAGCAGCAGGAGAGTAGTCTCTTGACTTGTGCTTTTGAGAATCAGGTCCGCAGTGCCAAAAGTTTCATGTTTCATAGATTCCTTGTTTGGGGTAGGCCTTGCTAATTCTGAACAACGCGTATAATATCTTTGTCTTCGCTATCAGATCAGTTGCATTTCAAGCCATGGGTCTCTTGAACACTGCAAGGTTTTACAGCTTGCTACATCTGAGTAAGCTGGCCAATTTCTGTTGTTTTCTAGCATGCTGGACTTGTAAACTTGAGCTGCTTTAACCATATACTGTTTTGTACTGGGTTTTCACAGCCTGTGTTCACAGATAGATAAGAAGCGAGACGATGATCCTGTGCATGCAGATGTAAATTCATAATCACACCTTGCTCTGCTCCTGTCTCAGCTTTCCTAGCCATGCATCCACAGTACATCGCAGGCAAATGCAAACTGGCTCTGCCCACCCTCCTAGCCGACTGAAAAACCCCAGGATGTGGCCCAAAAAAATACTCTGACTGTACAGCAGCTGGCTGGGCTTTGTGCTGTGTTAATCACAGTCACATCGTTTCTGAGTAGCTCTGAATGCACATACGGCTTCTGCGAGCACTCACAGCACATCACATAGCTGTTCCTTTAGTCAGCTGGGCTTTGAGCTCATAAACTACTGATCTGGGACTGTTCTATAGGGCCTGTTTAGTGTTGGCCACAGATTAATGCACAGAGCCCCAGCCTTCTCAATGCAGAATCTAATGTATTCCCAGCTCTGTCTGGGGACCAGATGAATAGCTGTTTTGTCCTGACTGTACTTGCTAGATAAGCTCAGCCATGGATATTTCATAACGAGAGAGAAACTGTGAATGCTGGAAAAGCCAGCAGTGTCTGGAGGAGCAGTGAGACCATGCACAAAAGGGAGCGAGCTCCTGCAAGTGAAGCTGCATTTGCAGATGGGATTTGTACTGTAAAGGCTGAAGGACTCACTAGTGATGGCTAGGAGACAGCTAGCACCATTTCAATCCACGGCACTGTCTGTAATGCATTGTGGCAGGCCTGTGCTGTAAAAGATCCTGGATGAAAAGACAACATATGCATACATAAATATATACATACACATATATGTGTGTGTGTGTGTGTGTGTGTGCAGTATGTGTCAATAGAGACATATTAAATGTTATATAAACGTTCAGACATACACTCCCTCCAAATCCAGAGGTCTTCTATTACACAGTTTTCTATCAAATAGCCTCTACTGTTTGCTGCTAAAGGGTGAACATTTGCCAATCTGAAGCCTGGAGCAACTTGCTTGTGTGCTGACCTGGGAGAAGGTAAAGACAAAGCAATAAAGCCACTCGGGAGCCTGCAACATGCAACCAATCTTAAAGCAGCAAGGCCATTTCCCTATGTTCATCCCTGAATCATTACTACCTTTAAAGCAGAACTAACTTCCTCTGTCCACCCCCTTGCTGGCTCACACATCCACTGAAAGAGGGGTGGGAGTCCTACAGCTTCAGGAATAAAAATGCAAAAGATGATATATTTCGTTCTGCTTCATACACATGTACTTGTTGAAGGTGACTGACTATGTGCTGCTGTAAGCTGAAGATGGAGGGTTCTTTTTTCTTTTCTTTTTCAATGCTTCCTTTCAACTTTCCACCACTTGCTCCATACCACAGCGTGCTCTGAACATTTATGGCCCAAGGCTAAGCAGCACACCGGTCCTTCAGAATTGCTTTGTGAACTGTGGCAGGGCCTGGAGCTGTGTGCACAATCATTTTCTCCTTCTTGGGACCAGGCCTGGCCACGTGTGAAGGTCTCACACTGCTCTACGGAGAGCAGCTTTATGCCAGCTTGCTGCCCTTTCATGGGGGAAGAGGGGAGGGGGGCAGGACAGAGCAGGTGGAGACCCGTCCTTTGTGCAGCACAAGGGAGAGTATATGCTTCTGTGCAATAATTCACCCCCACCTCCTCCCAGTTTACCTATGTGCCTCTGCTGCTGCGAAAAGACTCCTATCAGAGGCCTGAAGTATTATAATACTCAGCAGGCAAAGAACAAAGACACCCAGCACCCCACCATGCTGTCAGCCCCTTGCTCCCCACATCATTCACGGATAAGCAAAGCAAACGAACTCTAGAGTTGGAGGTGAATGTGGGAGCACAGCAACCGGCATGTTTCCCGTGGGAGACCTGTCGCGGGCTGACCGCCTAGCAGGACTGCCAGAGCGTGCGCTCACCCTGAGGAGATGGGCTCGACCTCAAGTCCTTTTCTGAAGGGCACCATGCTAGTGCCGGGCCAACATCTCCACCTAGAAGTAGGGAAGGGAGGAATAAAGAGGGCTTTAACCTCAGCAGCTCTGTTATTATCACCACTGTCCAGGTTTTGCCCCCAGCTATTTTGAGTGCATTCCGTTTGAGGACTTGCTCCCAGATTTGCCCCTTGCTCCCAAACCAGGCAGCTCCTGCCCTGTTTGTAGTGGATTTGTGTAGTTTTTTACTTTTTTTGGAAGTTGAGCATGCAAGTCTTTAGCAACGTGCAGGAACAGTCTTTTCCATCAGCGTCCAAAATCCAGAGGAAAAAGGTATGCTGGCTGCAGTCCCCCTTCACTCCTTCCAACCAGCAACCTAGCAAATTTAAACTTATCTTTGGGAAGAGCTCCCAGCTGCATCCAACAAAACCCTGCTAGCCCACAAGAGGAAGCAGAGGGACGTCCATCCACCGCAACAGCTCCTCCTCCCAGGAGATGACGTTGCACAGCTCTGCTGCTGCAGAAGGACACACTCCAATCCTGCCTGGGGCTAAAGCCCAGGACCGAGTGCTTCACCCTCACTGCTCACCCTGGCTACCAGTAGTGAGTGCACCCAGAGAGTGTTTTTTCCAGCCAGCTCTTCCATCACTCATGAGGCTGTGCTTGGCCCTATCTGCCCACACGGGACTCCCACCTGCCAGGAGCTTGCTTTCATCGCTCTCTAACTCTGTGGGGCCCAAAGGCCAAGAAGCCAGGCAGCAATCAGTGCCCCTATAGAAGTAAACATGCAGACTTATTCACCTACATTCTCTGTACAAAAAGGGTAAAGACTACAGGAAACGTGTGTAGCTGAGCAGTAAGGACGCTGGACAAAACACTGAAGGAGAGGCCTGCACTCCTTGGCAGCTTGGTGCAGGTTTGGGTGCCGTGAGAGGAGGAACCAGGTCCAAACCCTGCCAAGAGCTGCAAGCTGGGCCAGGATCCTGCTGGATGTGGAAAGCGGAGCAAGCCCGTGTTAGGCTGCTTATTTGTCTAAGCCCCAAACTGCAAACAGGGCAGCTGACATGATGCTGCAAGTGCCTG